CGTATTACAAAGAAGGGTAGTTCGAAAGAAGAAACATTGAGCCTTACCAATACCGAGGGATAAACCAGCATTGTGTTACAGTAGCACTACTTTATCTCAACTCGTCGTCGATCTGGCAGAAAAGACAATAGACCCAGCATCATGTCACCAACATACAAAAGGGTTCGGGACTACCGTTATAGATAGGAGGCTGGTTTACAAAATAAAGGCTTAAAGACAGGGTTCTTAACGTGGAAAACTGTTAAAACATAGAGCGTTGTCTTTTGCTACGTTAATTAAATTAGGAAGCATGAAATTATGTGGGATTGTCAACTGATCTTCTGCATTTGTATCATTCTGTGCCCTAAGGGGAATGGTTTTTTATAAGACCTATACAACCTTTCTTCTACATTCCTGTTTACATGGTATAGAATGGTCAAAAGTTAACCCAAATAAATTACTAAAAATTATCGAAGGCAATTCTCTGTTTTTTAGGCTTTATGACTAATTGAGCTGAATTTTTTCGCTTCTTAAAGTAGTCAGCTTTTTCTTTTTACTACTAAAGGCGCTTAATCTAATCCGAGCAGTTAAGACCTTCGCTCCTGGGTTTGTTGCTGAATAGTTTCCACATTTTGGACATTCATTTTTATGGAGCAGTTTGTGGAAGTCTTTCAAACTCATAGCTTTTATGTATTGGTCAGAAAGCCCTGTGCATTGTTCATAGATCGGATTAACGGAGATGCTACCTTTAAATATGGTGAGCTAGATGATATCGCACGCTGTGCATGTCCTCTACAATTATATAGCCTTATTTGGTTGCCTTATTTTGAATGCAGTCATTTTGCCCATGTTAAGACATGCAACGTACTGGGGCATTCTTGTGTCGTTGGTTGATAGCTACACTTTGATGATCCCTATTCGATTTTCGGAATAAGTTTCTTACGTAGCGTAATTCTTTTCCCTTCCTCACCAAATACAGATGCAGGATCTAGGTGCGACTTGGCTGAACTTTGCTTTTACTGCTACCGGCAACTACGTTGCCCCTATTGAGTTAAAATATGTAATCTGAGGTTTTTGTTCTAGCGAATCTTACAAGTATAGCAGTAAAATCGACAATTTACCCTGTTTTTACGTTTCGAATTTTGATTTACTCCGTTGTTTTTAACCAAATGTTGCGCAGATTTTGCTTGTAGTATTTGTTTGATATCTTGACTATTTTCATGACTCGTTGATTTTAATTGGGTATTATCCTGACGATACTACAAACGACTTATTCGTTTGCTTTCCTTAAGTTGCGATGCTCTTTCCAAAGGTTAGTAACGACTACTAGTAAAATTCTCGCCACTGCGAAGTATAATAGGCTCATTTATTGATCATTCATTTGTTTTTTCCCTTAGAACCAATCCATTCCATTTTAAGCTGTTCATCATTTAATGACTGGTTTAATTATGGTTTAACATAAGGTTTTGTGTTAAGAAAATTCGTAATTTTTTATGCGTGCCTATGGCCGCCATTAAAAATTTCATCTGACTTTTGGTGAAATAAGTCGAGTTCAGTAAATATTTAGTTACTAAACCGACTGTTCTTCAGGCTATTCACAAACTCATTTAGTTATGTGTACTTTTTGTCTAGCATTCCACCAGTTTCATAATAAAATTATTCCACTAGCATTTGACTACTCAGTTTTTTATTTCATTGTTCTTGATTTTATTCCAATGTAGTTTTATTAATGGACTAATGATAAGCGCACAAATATCGCATCGTAGCTCTTGCCCGGATTTTCCTATTGGTTTTCCATGTGTTAGCAATTTTTGTGTCCGGGAAATTGATCTTACTACCTGATGTACTCCTTCCTCCATATTAGTCTCAGTCCATAAAAGGTTTTAATATGTAATACTCCGCTTTTTGTGCTTGCTTTCCATTGTCTTGCTCAACACTTGCCTGATTGTTAAATATCCCTTTCCTACCCTGCCCTGGAGTGTTGTTAGTTGCCTTCCCATTACCGCACGAGAAGTGTTTCATTTTTGTCGCTTTCCTTACTCTCAGTTTGCTTCCCAAATGGTGCATTTGTAACCCACTTTAGTGCTTTCGTTGCGTTTAAAATGTACTTTGCCCCATGGTATTTCATGTTTTTGCAATCGCTGTTCCCACTTCAGCTACGAACATAGCAGCTCTTTCCGATGCCGTCAATCTTGGTGTTGTTGAGGGCGTTCTCGGGAAGTTTCAGTGTATTGCCAGTAAGTCAGGTCCTTCTAAATCGCGCTTCCTTGTTTTTATTGAATGGTTCAGTAATTCATTTGTAAGAATAATTGCTTCTCTTTGGAGCGAGCGCTTTATGTGATCGTGTTTGCCCTACCACTGGGTCCTCCTAGATGCCATTCGGAAATGATGCAACTACTTTCACTGTTTCATCGAATTCCTGCAATTTCAAACATCGCTAGCTCATTGTTTATGCTGCTTTTTTCAGTCAGGTTATTTAATTCAACTGAGCTGGATTGCTAATTTCCTTCCACCTTGATGCAAAAGCAAGACAATGTTTGTGTTCTGCCATAATGTTTAATTACTGTCCTTGGTGCATTGAATCCGTACGTAGTACTGTGCTCCATTATATGACCTACATAAATGGCCTGTAAAGTAAGTCACGCTTTTCGTGGAGCTACTTTCGGTTGGATAGGTCTTCTGGGGTTCTGTTTCGTGTGATGCTATAAAGCGTGGATTTTTTTCCAATTTGTATTCATTTATGTCCCTGTGATAATATTTGGTGTTATTACGACTCTCATCGAATTTCTAGCATTATTATTGCCTGTCATATCAAATGGTGAAGTCCATGCGCACATAAATAACAAGTACTTTGATCTTGGTATGCTTAACCACAGTATCGCGAATTCGTGTTTTCACTTTTTGCGCCTTACTTTTCTTACAAGCAAAGTTGCGTGCTTTGTGTTTTCTTCCTCGATCAGATAGTAACTGGCATTTGCTCCTTATAAGTGAAAGCGAATTTGTGTGCTCTCTCCATGATGGAATTGAGGTCAGGCGAATATCGAAAATCGCAATTCTCCCCATTTCACCCTCGCCTCTACCAAAAACATTTCAACTCAACGTGAGTCTCGTTCGCATTTCAGGTGTTCACATGGTTTTGTTATGAAGGTTTTGTTTTGACATTGTGAGTTTTTAATTTTTGCGATCAAGCTCTGTAGCTGACTGGTAATGTAATTTACCTGGTTCTTTGAACTACCCGCACTTAAGTCCATTGCTTTGTTGCATTCTATGTAGAAGACCTCACGAAGTGGCAAGGAGTCGATTTTGACACACGAGCAACCGTCAGCCCAAAAGCAGCCGGCAATCGTGCAAGCAGTTCAAAACACCATCAAAGCGGCATCTGATATTGTAAATTTTAAACAGGTCAGCTTTTTTCCACCTGTTGCTCCTCAAATCGCTTTTCTTTACACAAAGTTGACATATACTTTCACACCTGGATAGATCTCAGGCTTCTGACTCTTGTTCTGCTTACGAATCTTTCCATTTTTTAACCGATGCTTTAGGATTCGAAGTTGTAAGTCGCTGGCCTACTTAGATCGTTCATTTGGATAGCGTGAAAGATTATGTCTACGTTTGGTTAGTTTCGTCGCATCAGCTAATTTAAAAAGCTAATAAGCTCAAGAACAAAAGGATTCTTTTACGGTTTTGACTGAGTGGATATAGTGCTGACGTACTGCATCTCACACATGGATTTATTTGGCGGGCTTTTAGAAATCAAAAGGAACCAGTCGCTTTGAAATGCGCATTCTAGAGGTCAGTGAGTATTTTACATTCCTTTAGTCTGCAAGCAACGTGTATTTACGTAATTTTTTTCTGTCCACGTTCTTACTGTTTGGATTTGCCTTTACAAAATCCCAAGTAGTTGTTGTCTTAATAAAGCGTGCATTGGTGAGTAGAACACGTTGGGAAATCCCAGTATTGACTCTCTGTAGGAGTTGGAAAAGCTTTTCGAAGGCGAGTCAGACCAGTTTTACTTTGCAAGGTGCGGTGGTGATTTGACGCTTTGGACGCAGCGACGAGAATGTCGACGTCTGCGGGGTGAACTGTGTTACTGGGGTGATTTGAAGGTATGCCCTCGCACCTGTTGGTCACCCATTTGGTGTCGTTACGACAAGTCTTTCGTGTGGAATCACCGTATTCTTCAAGATTTGGTGGCTCCTGCTCTCCAGTACCTCCATGTGGAGGAGGGGCTGCCCAAACTCGTCACTGCATCGCGATCACCCTCCCCTGTCGAAGAGAGTGAGAGGATGGAGGCGGGAATGGAGATGGATGAAACAAGGCAGCAGGTTGCTGCGGAGGCAGGTCAGCCCACTCGACTGACTGAGTGCCTGTGCGCTCTCGAGTCCATGCTCCCACCGATTATCAGCGGTTTCGTGAAGCAGCACAAACTAGCCCTCCATATGTGGGATGTGGATGGTCGCATTAGTCCAACTACACCAGATCCCGTCACCCTGACTATTATCTCTCGGAGGAGCCAATTCAGAGCTGGTGGGAGCGCATTCATATTTTGCCTTAGCCTCAGCAACACAACCTTCCTGATTTTACTCATTGATTATTATTTCTTCTAGGCTGTAGGTATCGACGAAGGGGCATTGATGAAAGGGGATATGTGGCGAATTATGTCGAAACGGAACAGGTGTTCTCTCTATTGTTGTGATAAACTCTGAACCATTTTCCCTATGCTAGCGTTCACTGTGTTTCTTAACATTCTCTGCAAGTAACCTATTCTCTCCTGTGTATCTATGTCAGTTTGAAGCACTACTGTCTTATTGAGTTTTTGAATGTCAGCTAAATTTAAGCAGCTGTTTACCTAACTGGTTACCCGTTCACACTTTGTTTTAAAAGCCAACCTTGCTCAAATTGTTGCAAAACCGGCATTACTGTCGCACACTTTTCTCTAATTGTGTTTACAGGTGCTGGAGGTGCCCAGCGAGGTGAGCGTGCACGTCCTCTCCTTCCTGCAGATTCGCGGCTCCGTGCCGGTCTTCTGGACCCAGACGGGCATCAAATACAAGCCCCCGATCCAACTACACAAAAGTACGCTCCTTTCTCACCTTTTACGGACTCTATTGCCTCACGGGTGGCATTTCGTGTACCCCAATCTCCCAAATGCTTTTTTGTCTTAGATCCATATTTCACATTAATTTAGTAGTTTCCTAGTTTAATAATGCGTTTTGACGAAATTTACCGCTTTCAATAGCTTTGATTATGTATCACACTCAATAATATCGCATGTATTCTAAAATTCTGTTGGCTTTATGCAGCTTTAGCCAAGTTTGACGAAGTGTCATGGCTATTATTAAGTGGTTTGAAGTCGAAAACAAATGTCGCAACTCTTGTTTAATTTTTTTACCAAACGCTAACTTCATATTTGTCCGGCTGACATCAACAGTCTTGTTTTAACGTCTTGACTGGTTAAAACTGTGCTTTTATTACTTTTAGGCTATTAGAGGATCTGTCGTCCAATGTAGGGGACGTGTTTTGTAGAAATAAGTTAACATAATCAAGTACCTAGCAATCGGATTAAGTGTATCGAAAGACGTAAGTCAATTAAGCACGCTTGTTATATCCACGTAGGTCTATCGGAGAATCGGGAGGCCTTTCGCTTGCACATTGAGCGTCCACTGCGGAAGTTCGACCGGTTGGTTGTAGTGAATTTGGCTGAGACAGTACCAGGTCGCCAGGAGAGTAAAATCACCGAGGCATTTGTGCGACAGCTCCTGCTTTTCAACAATCCTAAGGTCACATACGTCGGCTTTGATTTTCACGAATATTGGTGAGCTACTTGCATGTCTCGTACTCATGTTCGTAGCGCTGCTTTACCTGATATTCTAAAGTCTCCGCGTTAATGCACGACTTTATTTCATGCTACAGAGCTAAAGACGAATTTTTTTCTTCCCTATAAGTTCACTCATTTACAATCGGTACTTTTATTAAAGTACTACCCTCGTGATTTCCATGTGTTCTTTACTCTTAGTGCTCCATGTTTGTTGCCGCAGGGTTTGGCCTCAAATTTTTGCCTCATGGGCATTGGGTTGTGTTGATGAATGTCGTATGAATAGTGCAAAACACCATGAAAGTTTTTTATCGAAATAACTGCTGTACATTCCGCAACATTTGATACGTCTTTTGGACTTTTGCGGTCAATTTCGGGGATACATTTCAGGATACATTTGGCCTTTTTTATGTTGCCAACGCGTGTCCACAATTTTGAGAAGAAACCAAGGCGACCATAATCTCTGCAGATCGAATGGGTCTTTCTTGATATTACTTGTCATAAGTAATCAATCCGTTATGATTGTCTGATTTGAATATTTGCTCGCAGCAAAAATCTTCGCTTTGGAAACGTTTCCGTTCTTTTGGAGGGTATCAAGGACATCATCCGTGATATGCAATATTATTGGTACGTTGTACGTCAGTGCGTGTCATTCGTTTCGTAGCCCCGAAATTTTTTTGCGCTTACGCCATTCTTTCTTGATAGGCTACACAGGAACAATCTCATGTGCAAACAGGAGAGTGTTTTTCGAGTAAACTGTATCGACTGCCTGGATAGGACAAACCTCGTGCAAAGTGTGTTTGCAACCTCTGTGATAGAAATACAAGTAAAGCCCTTGTTTGGTGCTGCCTTATAATGTTCGCTCAAATCAACAGCAGATTTTACTTGTTACAATATGGCGCGCAAGTTAGATCAGGAATATAGACACATTTGCTTGTTATAGGTCGCCGCCCCTTCTAGCTCCTTAGCCGCAGTATAAAGTGTTAGGCACTAAGGCACATTCACCCAATTTTTTGCATGGTTTGTTATGCTTATATTAGCAAATCCATGCACCATGGTTTGTCGGTGCTACTGGAAGTACATTCCCGTTCTACGATGCAAATGCCCAGATCCTATCGAACTCCCCAACTGATAGTCGATAGATTAGGCCTCAGTGCTGATGCCTTTATTGATATCAATCCATGTGAGTAGGCTGCAATGGGCGCGTTGTGGGCACATGTGCCTACGAGTTTGCAGGCAGAAATTGCCCGCTTCGGAACCTTGGTTACTCGGTCATTGAGTGGCTTCGGACTTGGAGCGATTACTAGCGTACTTAATCGACGCGCGATCTTAGCCAAGCAGGGGAGGCTGAGCAAGAGGGTTATTTTTAGGATGCTTGGAAGCTAGCCACGAAAATAGAAACTTCTAGAAATTTGAGCAGGAGTATTTTTCTCAATCTGCAGGCTTTCCAAGCAGAGTGTTCCACCGACCTTGTGTTTGACCGCCACTTTATTCCTGGTCATAACAATTCATCTTTCTCATATTGTTTGATGACCACTGGTACTCCATATCTTCCCTTGCTTAATGTTCTTAGAGTTTGTAGTATCCATTTAGGTGTGTTTGGTGCCGACTGCGTTCTCTGTCATCGACTTTTATTTATATCTGTTCCTTGTAGCGTCCACACTTACATCGCTTTTAGATAATCCCTTAGATTGCAGTGCTTGCTTGGGATAGATTATCGAAAACTAGGTTATTAACACACAGGTTATTATTGGCGTGCGGTGTCATGCAGGTTGCGCCAGTTAATTCAGATATCTTGAGTTTTTTAAGGATGCTTGTATGCCACTGAATCCTTATTCATGTTGCTGGTACTATCCAAAGGTTATGATGTTAAGTTGATTAGCCCACGCATTGTGATTAAGTGCTGGATTCAGAGAGTTTATCAATAGCTAACTACTATTAACACTCGCACGTGAAGCCGACGTCTTGTTGACCCTAGTTGCGCAGGCTGGGTCGCCTACCACCGGAGGTGGATCTGCCAGTGGAGTTTTCGCGATCAGTGCAATCGATATGGGCGGATAACGGCGACGCCCTCTCTCGCCACTATACCGGCACCGCCGCCATGAAGGTCAGTTCCACATCTATTGACCCTGTTTTTACGTACGCCTGCTTCAGAGAATGCACCAGCATTGGTGTTTTTGGTTGTTCCACTTCAGGGCGACTATACGCGGACTGGCTTCCGAACAGTAAATGGCTTGATGAAAGACGGCGTTTCATCGATGAGCAGGTGGGGTGTAACACTTACATTTTTCGAGACCGTAAAGTCTTGTCACCAGTATGACCCTCACAAAGATAGAGTTGAATATTCTCACGAGTTTGTGCAATTTGTTGAACCTTACCGCGAAAACAAAGTCAAAAGTGTGGTATTTTGGAAGGGTGGCGAAGTTGGGAAGCTTTTTGTGGAAATCTCGGAGTGTTCAACAGTTGTGCTATTATGCTGTTAGTGCATGTGTAGTCAATTTATGAAGTTTACCGTTGTAATTATTTTTCTGTTGAATTTTTTAAATTCTAGCAGGATGCCTCGATCAAATTTAAAAGTGGAACTCATGAGGATTTGGCTCTTTTCCACCGCATAATTTCACGTCTACATGACGTATGCATGCATACTCTGGTCAAAGTACACGGTGAAGCAACAAGGGATCCAAACTTATCTTTTTTACAGCTCTAGTTGGATGTGTCTTGCGTGCCATTTCGCCATAATAAGCCAATTTAGGCCTTTGCAGCTTTCAATTTTAAATTCAGCGCTTGAATATTCTAACGTTCTAAATCCTTCTGATAGTTGTGCACTGTAGTCTCTGGTAACTAGCCATCTATTTTTAAATTACTTGGGAGTATGATTTCGAGATTTTAAACCTGTACGGTGCATCCCGGTTATTCTTAATTAAATTGAAATCTTGTTGTGAGTAATATGTGTATGCCTATCACGATCTTTCAGCTAGAGTGAGTAAATGGACATGCGTAAACATTGGTTATTTAGCCTTTTATGTACTTAAGTATGTGTGGAGCAGCCCATGTGGATACTTGGTAGCGTATTTTTCTTTGAAGTGTGTAAATCGTCCTGATTTTCGTGCATGTGCAGGCGGTGTTCACTAACAGATAGATTTCACAGGTGCTTTGTACAACTAATACATCACTTTTCGTCGCCTCAACCTCCTCTCACGTGAGGAATTTTGACCAAAGCAGGCAGAGTAGACCCTCTTTTTTTCTAAAAACTGCATGATTAATTTGCCTTACATGTGATCTACTTAATTATTTAGCCGGCAGTTTAAGTGTGCTACTTTTTGTGCCCTCCAATCCTGAGCTGAAGGCGTTAAACTTTTCCTCGCAGGTACTACCAACGCTTCGGTGAGATCAAACGTCAGGCCGCTATTGATTTTCTTCTTGGCCACACGAACAGTCCTGAGCTGCGGTTCCTTCGGAACTGCAGCACTGCAGACGTACCTGTTAAGGAGGTAAACGCCACTTCTCTTGCAGCCTCCACAGGCAACTCTCAGTGTGCACTCTCTAAAGGCTACTTCCACGTTGTTTTCAGTGATTCGGCGATCAAAAATTTTTTTTGCCTCTAAGTGTTTAAATTTCGTTTTTGCTTGGTTTTTTGGCATTTGAACGTTTGATACAACCCTGGTGATGTTATGGATTGAAAGTTCTTAGGCTAGAATTTTAAATAAACTCTTATTATTTCATTTGTTAGTAGACGCGTGATGAGTAAGAGTGCCTGAATTTGTTGTCCTTCTACCAAGAATTGTATGCTCTTTCAGCCTCATTGTACAGCGGCATTGGTGCAATAACTGGTACATATGCCCATAAGGCATTCACTACAAAACTTAGCTCGTCTGAATGGAGAACTCCTTCAGCCTCAGTTTGTGCATGGCTTTGAATGTTTTTATTTAGCATTCGAGCATAGAAGTATCATCCCTTTTGGCTGCGGTGAGATCCTCCTGCCTTCAGGTGGATGAAGACCCATTCTTCGAGTTCGTTGCCTCCAGTACCGTTATGTAAGTGGCCGTCTAGCACGTAGAGCCTACACTAGGATACGCTCTATCCCTATCTCATTTTTCATGACATTTCTACACTTGGAAAAGACAACGCCTTATAATTCCGTGGAAATTTCTAAATTTCTGTGCATTTAGATTCTACAAGTTGGCTTTATGTTCCAGATATTTATCGACCTATTTGTTATTTGCGATTTGACATGGACATTTTTTGGCTTTAAAATACGTCATAGTAATTGAATAACATTTGTTGAAATCAAGTACCAACCGGAAGCATCTCCGACAGAGGAGGTAAAGTACTAGTGCATTTTTTAACACATCTTAACAGGAGAATTTGCTTCTGGGCTCTACTTTGCACCCCTAGATATAGCTTTCACCCCTTAAAATTTTTTTAGACTGCGCTTGAATGGTCTGGATCCATTTTTTTTCTTTAAATTCCCCTCTTTACTGCCCCAGTTGGTTCCATTGTCTAACTTGACAAGATCGGCGCGATTTTTTAATACAATTTTATTTTCCTTTACCTTCAATTTAATTTAAACAACATTGAAACGGTGCTAATATCCAGCTTTCCTTTATTTCACAATGCAATTTATCGGATCAGAGCCTTTATTGGATTTTCTAGCCACTCCACGGAGAGGCGTCGAGTTTGTGTACCCATCTTTGGAGTATGACAGCATACCAGCAATATGCCATATAATTAACAAAATTAATCTTATTTTTGGTCAGTAGTCTTTGAAATAGTTTTTCGGGGAAAGCATATTTTGGTTTAATTTGATAGTGGTTAACTTTCAGTTGTACTTCCCAAAGTATCGTCTTTATCTCCATGTAGCATAACATGGATCACAAATCACTGAATTTTCCCCAAATTTTAGCAGCTCTGTGTATTCTATCACTATTGCAATGCTAGTAACTTCTGTAATTTCTCCTCAGACGCCCAATACCCTAACAGTAATGCTGCAAAAGATGTCGATCGTTGAGTATCACAGACAGGTCGGATTACTATGCTTCCCTTTCAGGCAACTGAGACGCATAGATGTACGAGCCTTCGGGATGCTGACCAGCAAATATCTCCACATTGTCAGGTGAAGCAGTTTGCTGTTCCGTTAGTGAATGTTCCTCGTTTTTGTTAAGTTAGAGCCACTCAATCCAGCATTTTAGACTAATTCTAATGCCATTTCGAGTTACTTTTTCCTAATTGCCTCCAAGTAAGTTGAAAAGACCGTGGGGATTGACCCTCAGATACCAATTATCAATACTGCGCGCAAATGAGGAGTTTTGGGAGTTTTTTAAGAAGTGAAAATCATTTGATCCACATTATTTTTCCCGTATGTGACTACGATCACACAGAGTAAACTGTGCCAAGTGTAAACAAATCCATTCGTTAAAAACTGATGAATCGATCTTTTTGCTTTGAAATCCGAATTTTTGAACTCTCGGAATTCCCAGTCTGCAGGATTTCAACCACTCCTCGCATACTGTGTTTTTCAAACACGGTGAAGTATTCCTGTCAATTTTCCCAAGTCGGACAATACGTGTGTAAAATAGCTTCAGATTCGCGGTTTCGAAGGTGGGCTGTTTAGTAACAGCGTCCACCAATTCCTGCATACAGCTAGCCTTTCCTAACGTTGCTAAAATTCGCTTTTTGATGTGCCCGCCTTGTAGATTCGTTGATGATCCGCTCACTAATCAACAGGCACACCTGCATATTCCCGTTTCTTCGATCACACACATTGCCCTTGGTGAGTGAAAGATTATCTTGTTTACGTAAATACGCTATTTTTCTCCCAGGGATATGAATCCGAAGACCTAACTCGTGTGGCTGCTTCTGCCCTATCATTATTTTCTATTATTTACTTCAATAACCCCCAAGGGAATTATTTTGGCAGATACATTTGCTCATAACTATCAGTGTCACTTTTTCATAGTGTGCTTACATTGAATTAGGATGAGTTCGACTGCTCACGTGGACGCATATTTATTTATGTGCTATAAATATGGTGATGTTCTTGCTTCTAATCGTATTTTCCAGCTGTGTCCTAAAATACGATGTGGTAAGGCCTCTACTTTCAAATGGTTGAGGGAATGGGATAACCATTTTTGTAGACCTTCAAAGTGCCCGTCGGACACAAGCGCCAACTGTATGAGAGACGATAACATGAAAATCGTGTGCATAAAAACGCCCTACGTAATGGTAGTGATGATGCATGGTAATGGGTCAGAAGTGGCACTTTACAGCTTGTTCTTGTGTGTTGATTGATTGACCATGATCTGCTTTCACATACGAATGTTACAAAAGTTTTCATACTGCATTGATTTCTTCACAAATAACCCCAATTCGGTGTATAAACTCGCTTTTTTGTGCTTCGATGTGTCGTTTATGTTGTCACATTGTAGGCACTGAATCCGCTCTCTTTAAGCAGGCTTCTCCTGTCCTGTATATTCACTTCACCACAACGTCTCCGCATTCCAATCAACCGCCCATGGCTTTCTGCAATTATTCTTCCAAAGAAGTATGTCGGCCACCAGAACAATGATGACGGTGTCTATTTTTTGCCCTTACTCCTGTTTACCTGGCATTCTATTTACTTTAACTTTCAATAAAAGTAGTTTAAACATCTTGTGCAAAAATGATATGTTGCACGCCTTTACTTCCGACTTCCTCTTTCACTATTACTTACTGCCTTCATAGTTATGTCATGTCCGGAATAATTTCTCTGAACTTATTTTTAGAATGTTATCTAACCCCTACTGAAAGCACCGCTTGCAATTAGTGTGAATTTTTCGATGCCACAAACTGACGCCACTCTCAAACTGTATCCCATGAAATTGATTACTCTTTTAATCTGGATCACACTATGCATACTTGATACATGATACGCGCTATTGTAGTCGAAAATCATTTTGAGTGATTCAGTTGAACCGTCTAGATGAAATTTATCTCAGGTGCAATTTTCCCAAGTTGGTGCGGAGGTCTGTGTATTTAGCATCACATATTCTCATTTCTGATCAAACTTTTTTGGCAACTGATTTTGTTCGAATGTCAGAGCTAGGAAAAGTGGCCATAAGCGCCACCTGGTGCACTCGTATTTTGATTTACTCATTCTGGCGACTTTACAATCTCAGTAATATCGGTATAGTCTCTGTTCGATTCTTTGCTATAACTTTGCAGGATATGCGTTCAATTGATACGGCATCAGAAATGATCTGATTATAAAGGATCAATTAAAATTTGTCCACCACAACGGTCATAGACGTGTTTCGTGTGCTCCAGGTGGAGTTTCGTTCAAGTGACGACGCCAGTGGGGAGAGTGGGGTGTCGGCTCCCTCCACTGTGCTCAAGCGTCTCCCCCCCCAACAGGGTACTAGCGGTCAATACTGTCTGGCCTTACGTCAGGCTCCCTTCCGCCTCTTCAACAACTATCTGGTCCCCATCTCCAGCGCGGAGGAGGCCACAGATGCCCTCCATGCCGTCGCCGAATCCATCACTGTGCTCCTTCAATCCATCGATCAGTCTACCGGTTGCTTTGCTCTTAACCTTTCCAAAATAGCGTTTGAACGTGTTTCCCACTTAGCTGTTGATACCACACTGTGTATTGATTAGTTTTGCTACCAAATATCCCGCAAAGAAACAAACTGCAAACTCTTGATCCCTATTCCTGAATTCTATTTAATATTTGTTTTCCTTTTAGATCAGTTGGTGCTAGCGGAGACGCGGGCGACGGGCATTTCGGTTATGCAGCGGCGTTTCACGTCATCACTACCCACAGAATTCACGCGGCCACTCGCCCCTGCTGTCTGCAATGCTCTGCAGCAGCATCACGATTGCCTGTATCCCTTTCTTCTCTCCCTGCACCCGCCTCGCCGTCCCCGGCGCTCCCGACGTGTCCCTGTGGATAACCTCAACCACTCGTCCAAGCCGGCTCAGCGCATCTGCAAAAGGAAGAATTCTTTGAAACCTACACCTCCTTTAAATGTCTCTCAAACTGAGGAGATCGGTACCTCAAACGGGACAAGGGTTTTACAAAGCACGGTTAGATTTGTAATTTATTGCTAAGCCACATAATACGGATAATTGGCAATTATTATTTGTTTAAAATATTTTACGTAGCTTTTCATATTGCCATTCTATTTTTCTCGCTTTAGATATCATGATTTTTGTTTACTCATATGCTTCTCGCGATTTCGGCAAATGATAGTATTCATTCTCCTGTTCACAGGGCATAAAAGGGTCCTTTGGACAAATGTTGAAGCAATCTCTGCCGCTTGTGGAAAAAGTTTTTCCCGCTGCCCCTGGTTTCGTCAAGCACAATGAGCAGCCGTCTGCTCACGTGAATGGCTTGAGTGATGTACTAGCTCATGTGATTTTGCCTGCATATACTTTTAAGTTTTTTTTTTCATCGGCAAGTGTCGACCGTTCAGATTTGCCAGCTAGTTCTCCTAGTTAATTCGGCCCAAATTATCGTTTGAGTGAAATTCATTTTAGAAGTTTGGTTTTCAAGTCATTCGTTATGGCTTTGCATCAATTTTAATTACTATGCAATGATCTTTAAACATAATCATACACCGTTTCACCAACGGCAAAAATAATGCCAAGGTTGCACATATGCTCCCATATAAGGGACGTGTCATATTTCGCACACCAGTGTTTTCCATGCTCTTTTTCAAATGATAATTTTGTTTAAGTTACTAATCGTTTTCGGTTTCTCTTGTGAATGACTTTCGTAAGTATAAATACGTACAGATTGCTCCCTTCTCTCCTTCATTTTAGTCGGAGGAATGTATTGAAGCAGCAACAGAAGAGACGGACGAAGAGATGTTGGCGCCGGACAGCTCGGAGGTAATGGAAGGAAAAGAGTCGAGGAGTAAGTGTGGCATCGCAGAACAGGGAGTTGAACCTCCCTTTGGCTCCGACGTAGATGATATGCCCGCGCACATCATAAAACCTAGCCATTGCTCCTCAAGTACGCTGGCTCCTTTTGTCCTTTTTTATTAAGCTTCCATCATTTTCGTCCCATCCCCTTATTCTTGCATCATGTCCCAATGAACTCTATGAGGACGCCCCGGTGCCTCGTACTTCTGCACAACATCATCTAAAAATGTTCCTAAGCTTTAATTTTCTACATTTATGCATATTAATTGACTCTTCCCACTATTTCAAAATCAATGACCGAAGTGTCATGGTTTGAATTTAGAGAGCGGGAGTGTTAGTTAAAAATACATATTGGAACATTTTTAGACATTACCTTTGATGAATTTCCATACATACTCTCTTTTACATTTCGCGGTACATGGTAGTAAGTGCTTTAATGTTCCAGCATTTAAAATAGATTGTATAATCAGCTACCTTTGGTGTTAGAGTTTACAGCCCCTCTGTTCGATGGGATATTTTGCTTTTTTAAGCATAATTCCAAAATAATTACCCCGTTAATGTTTCTTAAAAATGTAGGCTACTGAAATTGCGTTACTCTAAGAGTCCCCCAATCCATGCATGAAGCCTTTTCTATTGAAACATGTGTCGATAGGATCTATCTGGCATCACGTCGCGTGTACTGTTTTTTCGCTATTTTTATCCAGTTTCTGACTTGATGTACGAGTTGGAAGACGCGGCCTCCATTGCAACCGAGGAGGAGGACGAGAGGGTGGAAGGGGAGGACGATGAAAATGAGAAAGTAGGCAAGTTAAGAATTAGTTTAAGCCACTCACGCTCCGTTCCCGCCCATCTGGAAGACGTGGGCTGCGGACAGATGCCTCAACTGACCAACACCACTGTCGTCGCTTCCGTCTGCAGGCCTTCTTCCTCACCCCTGCTCGGAGGTCTGTTCAATCTTCCCCCATTCCTTCCATCTCAAGTCCACGAACAGAGCAGTAATAGACTTAAAACTAATACGGTGAATACCTTTTTAATGATTATAGCAGGCTGAATGAATCTTTTTTAACTTATCATTGTGTTACCTACAGAGACTGTCCCGCCCAGTTTTGACGAGTGAAGACCAATTACTGCTCCCCCGAAGTCATTCATATGACGATCGCAGCGCCCGAACATTCCACGGTCTATCGTGTCCTCGAAAAGGGGTATCCGATCCACAGATAACCTGCTACCGTACATTATATGGACTGGCTGTAGGGCGGAGATCGCCACCTAGATCACTCCGCGTTTCGCAAGGGGAGGTTGATCGCGGCCTGCAGGAGGTGTTGGACAAGCACTTTCAGACCTTTACGATCGCATCAATAGGTAGGCTGCAGGGGTCTGCGAACACGCGGTTCGTGTCTCGACTGCATCAGCGACAAGAGGCGAATGCCCTAGCAGTCAATCAAGAGCGGCATCTCATCTGTTCCCCAGAAGGCATAATACAAACGCAATTTATCGTATTTTGACTCTCCGTCTTTCCACTTTCCCCAATTATTTGTCGGTTCAAGTGTGTGTCTGTGGCATTTATTGTCCTGTGTTCGTCCTCCCCATCGCGCCACTGTTTCTTCCAAGCGTTCGACTGGACTATTTTTTTGGTCTTTTTACCCCCTTTTCCTTTACGCACTTATCAATGATCCGTGGCGTGTTCGGCACACATTGCACTAGAGAACGATGTGAATTGGCCTATGTTATATTTTTTAAGCGGACTTACCGTTTGACCTTTTCATTCGAGCATATTTGCCTCCTTGCGGTCTTTTTCAGTTCTCGTCATTTAATAAAGTCCTGACGATGGTGTTGTAACGGTCACTAAATTTCTACTTTGTGTCCCTTAGGACGATTGACGTGGTGTGAATGGAGACCGTCTGGCCTTATGTCTACTAGAAATAAAGGGCGGAGTTCCTGCACGAAAATCACGATCAATCCTAGACGCCTACATTGGGGATCTCAACCACACGCTTCCAATGGATCTTGATCATTATTAGCGTTGGGATATCGTAATCGTAACCCAAATTTGGCGTCATTTTAAACTTTGGCTTTTGACATTTAACAGGAACTGGTTAAAGGCAAACCTGAAGACAAACGACTGGTAAGGTCACTATTATAAGCATCCTCTCACCAAATATGAGCTGATAGCGGAGCCAAATTATTAAAGGCGTTAAAATCTATCGCCTTTAGTGTTGGATAGGTCGCCGAAACTCAGAAACTTTGAATTAGATATAGTGACTTGTAGGGACTTGGAATTTCATTTCAGTCTCTGGAGGTTGTACTTCCACTCTGCGGCATGGACAACGGGCCATGATAATTGCTGCGATAGTGTGTATATTTGTCCACACTGTTTTGACTTGTTAAAATATCAGTGAAGAGTCGAAATACCGCTGAAGTAACTCATTACCTTATTTGAGTAGACATTAAGCAACGCGGGCGTGCTGGTTGTGCTTCCGTTCTGCAGCATAAAATTCGAGGTATGCTAGTATTGTCTCGGCTCTCCTGTACGTTGCTACTAAATATATTCCTTCATATTACTTCGGTTTATTACGACGTCAGCCAAGGTTCGGGACGCTGCACTAGGAATACTTCTTTTGAAGGCCGCATTGAATTCGAGCTTACAGCAAGGCTAATGTTGACTTTTTGAAGAGAAACGTAGATTTTTCATATGCTTTTGTGTGAAACTATGTGGGAAACAATTATGACATCCAGAAAAGTACAAGAGAACTTTCAACTCAACCACAGTTAGCGCATCTCATGTACTAAACGAAGGATTATAGTGAAGGTAGTATCCAGCCCTCAATTCAATCAAATTAATCACCTCATTTTCAATAAAAGTATTGATGATCTATTGGACTGTGGAATTGAAAATGAATGCAGTGCTCCATATCACCATTAGCAAATGGCATTGTCATAGGTCAAAATACCTTAGACCTTATTGGCTAAACCTTGGGATCCGTAGCTTTTGGTGTGGGAGATGTTTTGCATTGATGCAAATACGTGAAATGGAAAACGAAGCCAATGCAATTGTAATCAATAACGTCGTATGCATTCCTATGCCATTCTAAGACCATTTTTATTTAGACCTATGATTTGCGAAACGTTTCTAGAGAAGAAGCTGCAAGATTGAGACATTTAAAAATTCATGAGGAGCACAAAGGTCATGAGGCTATGCATTTAGAGATCTTTTTAATTCTCGTTTTCTTCACATTTGGTGCCCAATTCGCCCTGATGGCCTGGAAAAAATACCACCCCAAATCTTATCATCTGCTCACACTTCTTGGGATGTGGATTGTCCCCATGTGTTACAGTTCGTATATGCTCTATTTCCGATTCATGACGGTATGGTTGTTTTTTTCACTGGTCACCGGAGTCATGGTTTATTTAAGCTCATGTCCGCACATTTCAACGTCGACGCCTAGGTAATTTGCATCCTCTTTTTTTATTTAATTGAACTCATTCCTGATTTACTCTACTTGACTAATGTTTCAAGGCGCGTATATTGGTGGTTCCTACTTGTTCATAAGATATCTTATGCTGGGTCGGTAGGCGGCTACTTTCTCGTGCTTTTTTCACTGTTCATTCCTAACCTCATCAACCCCGGTTTCGCTATTCCTGTTGGCGGCCTGGTTCTCTTTTATGGCGTTTACTATGGTCTCGTCGCGCGAGACTTTGCTGAAGTGTGTACCGACAAAATGGCTGCCCATATTAGCGTAAGTTCTAACGCAGTGCTGGAAACCCTTATCACAACTTTTTACTCGTTTTTGCTCAGTATTTTACAGCTACTGGCATTCCACTGAGGCGAATTGACCCCGGCGTTTGTGCCCTATGTACGAACGTTATGCTAAATGGCAAGGGTGAGAAAAAGTACCGGCTCAACTGTTCTCACGTGTAAGGCGTTCACCTTGCCTTCATTCTTGTGATACTGTGGGCACACTCGTATATTCTGTTTAGTCAATATTCTAATCTCGGTTACTTCACCTTGGCATCTCTTATTTTGATGCAATTTATTCCTTAAATACGTGATTATCAAAGACTGTTTGAAGATTTACTGCAAACTACACCACAAACAGCACTAAATTCTAAGTGCTTTTATACTTCTTTAAGGAAATCTATGGCGAGCAGAATGTTTAATTTTGTGCTTTACCAATATTATTTTATGGCATTAATTCAGTTGAACTTACTTATAACGCGATAACCCGTGTTCTGTTAATATTTCCTAAATTGAGAGCTCTTTTTAGCTTTCATGAGTTTTGTCTTCGTGGTTGGTGCATTGTGGGAAAGAAGGATACGTGTCCATACTGCAAAGAGAAAGTCAACCTTCACAAGCTTATCAAAAACCCGTATCCTTTTTTTGAGGCTATGCCTAAGTTTTGATCAATTTCTTTATTATTGCCAACTTCCCCTTTCTGTGAATCGGAGTTCCTTCTGTTGATCATTCTTTGCCATAGATTTGGCTGTTTTAAGCACGCGCTAACTCATTCAACCGAATCTAATGGCTTTTTACTACGAGAAACCTCATCGGTTCAATTACTTATTTTATACTGCATTTCATGTCATCTAACGTTCAGTGTATTTTCCAAGATCTTGCTTGTGAATTAGGTCGAATTAACGCCCTATTTTTCCCTCGTTTGATTTGTATACTGACTAGTGTTTAAGCCAGTCGAATTTCGTAGATCTCATGTTGCGTAGCGTACCTCTTGACTCGCGTTGACTGGATTTTTTGGCATTTGTTTTTGGTGTCAACAAGAACCGAGGCTTAGATAACCTTATTGCTATTCCTCTTCAATTTGTCGCTCGTTGGCTGCCAGAGAGCATGCTTGCCCCGTTTACCCCATGCGATCGAGCACGCGCCTCTCACCTGCGCTTTTCTAAGGGTTGCTCAATTTTTAACTCCCTCTCAATGCCTACTGATGGCCTTAGATTAATGTGTCGATTTTCTTATTTGCCTTTCTTACCCTATTTTCTTATTTACTCACTTAGCCAGTAAGTTCGTTGGATGCTTTTCCAACGCTTAGGTTTTATTTTTACCTTGCGTTTCACTAATCAATGGGTAATTCATGAAACTCATGCCCTGCTGTGAAAACCTAAGTACTGCTGATAGACCATAAATTTAATTTATTAGGTTCTAAGCCAAATCAGCCCTTTTGAACCTCCGTAATTGCACCCACCGTTTCAATATAACTGCTGCTTTCTCCACCTGTTATTAGTTCATACAGTTCATTACTCACTGGCACCAAACCCAATCTATTGACCTTAACCTCCCGGTAACAAAAGGTGGGAAAAACCGCATCTTCTCTTCGGCAGTCTCCTGGATGCCATTCGCTACCTTGTCGCCTGGCAGCCATTGATTCTGATGGCAGTGCACGTCATCATTTGGGTCTTAGATTTAAAGTGAAATCACCCCCCATGCTCCTATGCAACTGTGATTATGCTGGTAATACATGAAACTATCATGGATAATGCCCTTATCCCTTGGCGTATGGTCGGCAGCCGCCACAAACTTGCACACACAGTCCCAAAGCAATCAAGAACACCAGTCTTAAACCTACCCCCGAACCCTCTTTCAAATGCTTCAGGAACAACTGGCCACCTTACTCTTGCGAAGCATATTGGCCAGATCGACTAGGCATTGTGAGTACCTATGACCGGAAAAGGCTACTTGTGATGGGTCTCACGCTCGTCTACAGGCTAAGGCGTATCCAACAGCGGTGGTTCCGATGTGAGCGTCTGCGTAAGCCTTCCGCATTAGCACCGTCGCGCACATGCCGTAAGCTGCCTTGCAAACATCCCATTGCCGTTGTGAAACTATATTTCGAGTCGAGGATGCATGATGTTTTATATGTGAAAATTATTGCAAAAGCTAGAATACTCATTTACCTAGTTATTCAAAAAAAAAGAACTCCTGAAACAAGAACTGATGCTACAGGAAAAAAAGTGAGTGCTCAATGGGGTAAAGTGTGATCGCCTATGCAGTCTGCGCTGAGTGTCAAGTTTGAATGATCATCGGAAGGGGCTGCGGAAGGACTCTCGGAGTCAAAGTAGACGTCCTCCGCGTCATGAGCTAGTTCTTCCATTTCATCATCAAGTGCTGAGTCATTGTCGATGGCACTTGAAAGAGCGGTAAATATAAGTATTGGTTGTGGAACAAGGCTCCTTAGTACGCCCCCATTTTCGTCAAGATTTTGGAGGAATTTAGATCACATTAGCAACTTATGTAATTGAGCTATAAACTGTTTCACCGGTTTGACCCATGGTAAGGAATTATTAATAGATAATATACCTTATGGTGCCTTATCTACAAGCAGAAACAATGACAAGTGGTGCCACAATACCCTTGCGTGTCTCAAAAGAGCATCGCAGTGGAAGGTGGATGCATTTTGCGGGATAAATGCAGTCACTCCATGCGTTAGTCAAATCGGTTTTAGTAGCCGTTTTGAGTACTGCAGTAGCAAACTTAATAATCAAAAGGATGGTGAGAACTTACTCATAGTCAAATTCCTTGTCAAGTCCAGCGAGGAAGTGGAAATGCATCAGCTCCCTAAACTCCTGCCGCGACCGCTCCTGCTCCGCGATCACTACGGAGAGATATCAGCTTCAAATGGCTTAACAAACCTCTTCCTTTCTGAGATTTCCGCCGGTCTCGGTTAGATTCAGTGCCTTCTTCAGAGTCATCAGAATCCTCCTATAATGTTACCACTAATCAAACTATGTAACATTTTCCTATAAATCGTAATTTAGCCTAAGTTCAGGTTTTTAATTTGATCTTTTAATATGGCTCTCAGCCCCGATAACCTCAAATTCTACCATTCTTAAAAGCCAGATTATATAAATTTAGCATTTTTAATCACAACAGCCGACTTGAAAGCCTCATTGTCTAAAGGAGTAAACCAAGAACGATAATCTGCGTGATTAACAGAAAGCATTCTGTCTTTGAAAATATTGGAGCTGGTTGAGAAAATAATCTATGCAGTGAACTAGCGCAACACACGGAAGGATAAGGTAATAATGCCTTCGCTGAATGTTGTCACGTTTACCGGAGAAGCAGCTGCAAAACCTAGACCAAACCCTACGCCCAAATACCAGCAAAAAAGGGTTATTCGTGCCTAAGAGAGCAAGACAGGAGAGCGGCTATCTCACCTCGAGGTTTTCAGGTCGAATGTCGAGCCTCTGTTCAGTGTCGAGCAACTGGGAGAGGAGCATACCACTGAAGGACTCGTATTGGTGACCCAAAAGGGCACGCCTATCAGTATTCGTGAGATATCGACCAACCATGTGCTCCCACAATTCCGGCGCGCGCTCACGCATTTGCTCATGCGAGAAGAAGCCCTCTGTCGGGTCCGCCTTCGCCTCCGCCTCCATTCTGCGCAAGGCCTCGAGGAAGAAAAACATCGAAAGATACTTAGGGTGTGAATGACACGGACTTATTGATAGACGGTTTTGGATCACTTAGTCGTCGTTCTAAACCTTTGCGGTGTCATTTTGATCTAGTGTTTTTCACATCAGTTTCATCTTCCTAGATTCCCACATCAAACCCGACATCCAAGAACCTCCTTCATCCCGATTTTTCAATATTTCACATGCTGACCTGACTGTATTACTGATTAGTAGCCTACTGTGCTTCTACATCTTGGTTACGGCCTAGATCAATCAATTTGAGAGCAGAGAACGAGAGGAAAAGGGAAACATAAAGGAATTTGCTTTCGTATTACCTCAAGTTTTACCTTAGGTGGGTGAAGGTCTAATCACATGTTAAGAACAATTGATTCCTAACACCACAGAGGCATAAAATCGACGATCTCCTGGAACTTATGATGTTTACCAACATTCGGGTGAATATGGTGCTTGAGATGTTTCAGGCCAGACCATGAAAGACGCTTCTGCTGTGTGTAAGCGCACTCAAGGCATACCACCAGGCGTCGGTTTTTGACATGCAGTTTTCTCCTTCGCCTATGAGCCTCGCACTCCACCTTCGCGATCTCCGCATCGGCCGAAGTCGAAGAGGGAGAGGAAATTCCGACCACCTCCTTGAGGTAGTACCGCACGGTGTAGTTGTCCCAGAGGTCGCGGAAACACTCGGCATCCTCTGGCCAGCTAAGAAATCTGTAGTGGCGTGCGAGAAACTCGCCGGGATTGCGCTTGAGCAGGTCACCAGCCAGATTGATTTTCTCCTCCACCGTGAGTGATACCTCGTCACGCGTCTGGTGGCGGAAGTGCGGTCCCTCCTGCTCCGCCAGACGCTTAAGCATTGCCCGTTCTATTCCACTCAGATGAGTCATCATCCCTGAAAAAGGCATCATCTAACCACAACCATAACGAACACCTCAGTTCAGGATTTTTATCTTCTCAGGGCTGCAAGACACCTGTCAAGTCACAAATCCACACCGATAAAACACTGCGTCCTGTTAAAGGACGTTGTTTATAAGGACCACTACAGCAAACAGTGCCACACTCTACATGTCGACACAAATCAACCAGAGCACGCATCATCAGAGTTAATATAGCCAGCACACCAACGTAGTATTTGACGGCAAGCAGTTCGTCAAAGGTTTTTGTTAGAGATTGGATGAATAAGAAGCCAGTAAATTTTAACGGGAAAAAGTGCACCGTCAGCCAATCAAACGTACAATAGATAAAGGCAAACCCAGCGTTTGTTCACATCGAGCATAATTTTATTAGGTACCGTAACTGTACATAAAAGAAGAGCTGAGATGTCTACGATGGTTGCACGGATGGTGATATTGTACACTTCTTTTGAAAAGTCTCATCTAAAGTGGAATGTGAAAGCTAATTAGTTATGACACAAATTCATGAATGGCTTGAACAAAAAAGGGACGTAAACGAACCATCTATTTGGTCAACATCATCGGGCTTCTGCTCGACTCCGTCCAGATGGACGAGGGGATCAGAGTCAGCGTTGTCGTCGTGGCCCACCAAGTCCACCAGCATGGGTTTCACACAACGTCTTCCTCTCCCTTCATCCACGGCATCCTCCTCTTCGTCATCATCGCTGTCCACTGCACTGCCCCTTTCGTCGTCTACATCGCCTAGTCCAGCATGAAACATCCATTTTTATGCAAGGCCTCCTCGAGAGTGGTTGAGAGAATATATTTGGTGTCAAGAATATAAAAGCAGCGACGGACTGGCTTTAACAATGGTCATGCACCGTATATTTAATGACAAACACATTTACTATTTAACCACCGTATTTTAAACAAAAACTCAGAGGCAATAATAGGTGGCAGTAACGCCAAGAACTTATCATTGAGTGAGAAATCGGATATAAAATAGATAAGCATACCGCATTTTCGAGTTAGAAGAGACTTGTGATACTTTCGGGAAACATTTTTGGCTTGAAGTGCTGGTAAATACTCCTATTAGTAAAAAAAAAAAAAAAACAATCTCGAAAACGCAACATCGGGACATCAACATGTTCGCTCGACTTACCTTACAACGTGAGGCACGTTTTAAAAAGACACAAAGGGGGTTATTTTTAAAGCATAACGCTGAAACAATCGTAAATTCGAAGTGATGGTAATGAGGATGCAAAGTGCTTCTCATGTCGAACAGATTTTATTTATTAGAAAATAAACTTACATTATAATACTCCACTATAGCGTCCTTTACCAGTTCAAGAAAGCGTGGCATGCCATCACCAGAGACTGAGGAGACACCACAGCTTTTCAAATCGTTGTAAAACTCGTCCAAAACAAGAGCCATGGAGCTGGTAAGACTGGTCATATACTGTGATGAGTCGCAGTCCACAAGAGGCCCGTCCACACTGTCTACTCCGTCCAGTGCAGCGGAACGCTGGGCGTCCAACGCTCTCTGAAAGGCCTCGAAATCTCGCATCCACTCCATTGCGAAATCACACTCAATTATATCCGTCTGAAGCAAAACAGAGCACAAATTACTGAATAAAAATCCAAGTAGAAAACGAAAGTTGCAACTTCCGGTTCTTTAATAAACCATTAAACTCTAAAATAAGTTCCAACATATCCTAACATTACTTGCATCGGAACTTAGCTTATGTGTTCAGGTAACATTTTCCAAAACACTTTTAGATCAATATAGGTGACGAGAACAATGCATTTACATAATATACATCGTTATTACTAAGGGGAATGAGGGTAATTATTATTTGTGATTAGTCATTGTCATCTAGTAACTTACCTTATTAAAAACGCATATGAAGGGTAGTTGCATTCGATACAAGACACTACAGGCGTAGAGCATATTTGACATGAAGGTAACAGGATTATGACTGCGAGGCGTATCCAGTACATAGACCACAAGGGTAGGATACGAAGCTGCCTAAGAATGAGGTCGGAAGAGTTGCAGATAACCTACTAATGCCCCGGTTATTATCATCCCTGAAGCGGACCATGTGAAAACCTCAATCTGACCAGGCGTATCAAAAACCACGTAGCGATAACGACAAGCATTTTTGTTAATAAGATTTAGAACCTGGTCAAAACGTGCAGAGAAGAAATTCAACGATGTCATGATCGCTCCGTTTGGACCAAAACCATATTGTTTCATGACTTCTTTGAACTTCACGGTATCTCTAATATCTAAGACAACGTAGTAGATACGGCTCACACAAGACACAAACCTATATTAGCGTAATAAGGTAGGTGATACACAGCTGGATCCAGATTAACTGTGTATGGTTGGCTGTTTTCGCCCAAGGTAAGATGTTCAACCAGCTTCTTTACAAATGTTGATTTGCCGGACCCCGCCATACCCAGAACGATTATGCATGCAGGTGACTGCGACTCAACATTATTCTCAACGGAAGCCATTTCTAGGGGAAACAAAAAACAGATGATAGCACGAAAGCAACACACGGCTCAAAATCTTGAGGAAACGTGAAATGCACTAAAGGCTAAAGAATCACACCTGCGCCCAGGAGAGATGCAGACTGTGAAGAAACAGGTTAACTACTTAATGACTTTGATAAAAAAAATGTGAACAATTAAAACAAGAAAAGATTTGTTACTCCTTTGTTGTATAAGCCTAATATCTTAAGCTAGCAATTGAAATTTTTATGTATATGCAAAAATCTCAACGTTGTTTTAAACTTTCTAATTAACAGAGACATAAAAATGTTATACTTATACCTGACTCAAAACTGCTAGAACTGGGATTAAACTACATCCATGATAAGATTGTTGAAAACATAAGGGTATTGTTTTGAACAAATCCAGTTAGTGTTTTAGCAGGAATAGAGGACTTATCCCCAAATCTTCATTGGAATGATACTAATGCGGAAAAGGGCTCTAATTCGTTAGTGAGTTAGATCTTGATTCTAAAAAGGAGTATTTTGTGCCTTAGTAATTGTGCCTTTGCCCGGTAAGCTCATTTCTGGGCCATGTTAGTAGCCCCAACCCCCTCTGTATTTTAAATATGTGCATCTTGCCCAAGTATTACTGTAGCGTACCATGACTTTCCTGAAGACGAATGAAGACATGAAGACATGTGTCAGGGGTACTGGCATGGCCCATAGGCTAGTCCACTTGGCTTGGTACAATGCCAAGTAAAAATTGCCTCCTCACCAAAACCGGGAATTAAACAATCAACGTATTGCATAGTCCCTCTACTCTTCTGAGCGTCATTTATAGCGCTTCTCTTGGTCAAATTTGTGTGTCGCCATCACAATGTAGTCGGTGATGTAGAGAGACACTCATGATCGGACCGTGCCTGTCATCAGATTTCTATGCAACTGAGGAGATACTTGACCGCAAGGTTACTGGTCCTTCTCGGTAATTGGATGGATCTAAGGCTTCATCTGGTGTAGGGAATGGATTAAGGAGTGGCAAAGTCTGCTGGCCATCATGAGTGTCCATAGCTAGACATAGGAACATTGGCCTTAAAGCAAATTTGTGCAAGGAAGGACGGGACTTAAAACAAGTCGGTGGGAAAAGGGTTTTATGCCTGTTTCTCCCTGCAGCATTGTTCCCACTTCAAAAATAACCAGCCATATCTACCCAAGCTCCAACTAACTAGCAGAGAAATGGGGGACATATTGCGAATTCACTTTACCAACGGTTTAATGCAAATATGGTTTGGAGTCTCTAATGAAACTTTAAGATATTCCATGGCTAGTGTCGCTTCAGTCGTTGTAGCTTTCTTGCAGAATACAGGACTAAGGAAGATGCCGAAGGGAGTCCCGAGACCTCCCTGAAGTAGAATGAATACATCATAATTGGGCAGAATGCATACATTCGGCATACAGATGGTGTGAGGGCTACTGGCACGGCCCTAAGGCCAGCCAATTTAGAGTGGTACAATGCCAAGTCAAAAGGGGCCTTTCAACAAAACCGAGAATTAAACAACTAACCTGTCAAATCATGGCTTCTTTTGTCTTCAGGGGAGTCTTGGGGTCATACAAGGGCTGAAACACCGTGGGGTCGCAGAAGGACTAAATTACTGATAGAAATTATAATCTGTTTAGAATACACAGTGATTAAATCATTAAGTAACATTACAGTGATTGAGAATGTTTCACTGCGTTTCCGGAAAAAAGGGTTGTCACTGAGTCAACGATCATTGGTTAAATAGGGGTCAATTAATCTACTGGCCATTTTTTCACAGAATAATAAAGGGAATAATTTGCCTTGAATTACTGCAGCTAAAGGGCAATGTTTTTGGTAATTTGCTTCACTCTACACTTATTTACGCGGAAAGGTCAGTCTTTGACCTGCATGACATTCGGGTTATGCCAGCCATAATAATTATGTTGTTTTAATAATCCACTTAGAGAGGAGGCGGGCATGCGAATTGGACCTCGTTACTGATGCGTGAACTTCCTGTAATCCAGAGAGCTGTTCCGTGTCCGTACCCCTAACCTTGTACTTGCTTCCTCCATTTACGTATCTTAATAGACATAACTAAGTCGAATCAACCTGGGCGCTCTGAGAGTAATAAAATTAAAGAGGAGGAAATCTACGAGCCTTGTCCAACGTTAGCAGCCTTAGCTCTTCTATAAGCCGCGAAACTGTTTACTGCAATCATACTACGGCTCATGAGGACTTCAAGGAAAAAGTAGGGTCTCGCCTAGGATAATCTAAGTAAAATAGAGCTTCCCTTAAAACATGAAAGCTTTCCACCAATTTTTTAATACATCTCAATTGCTATTTTAAGCCGAGAATTTCAATGACTCTTATCAGTCTGTGAACATCTGACACGTGCAGAACATGGTTTACAGTGGAACTTTGTACGGTCTACTCTTTGTCTATGTCTTTTAGGTTGCTTAGAAATAATTTTTCCTTTTATTTTACTTTATTGCTACAAATGGGAGCGTAGAAATGACTGTCACTTTTGGTATGCTTTTACAGAGCAAAACACCCCTAAACATACTCATTCTTTTTAAGAAGTTCTTCTTAGACCAAATAATGCACTGAATTTGCCATGATCTTGTGAACAAATAAGTGTTTAAACTCTTCCCTGCCAAACCGTAAGCTTGAATGAATCTACTGTACTACTTTTATGCCGCTTACGTTGTCGAAGTCGGTACGTATTTGGTGTTAGCATCCTTCTCAGAACATTTTTGTAATGAGCAATCCATAAGTTTCTCTTGTTGCTGGCCATTATCCATTTCACTCCACACTTGCTATTTATAAATTTCTTCAGTTTTATTGTCCTTAAGGATTGCTTATTCCAGAGTTGTGAGTTTTGTTAAAGAATTCGGATTTTTGCCCGTTACTTTTTACTCCGGCTTAATGTAGCTGTATTATTCTGGCGAATTGTAGGTGGTCAGTTGTGTGAGAAATGATTTTTTGCTGAAATATTTGCAGGAAAGATGTGACCTACTTATTTGACATTGCCTTTTGTAGCCAAAATGTTTGTTTGGGTTCTGAGCTCCAAGGTTTTGGTATTCATATCCCAAATTTTAAGCAAACTATCGAATAAATGTATTCTGTTTAGATGTTGGTGATTCAGCGACCAATAATGCCAGCAGAGCAATTAGTCACCAGGTATGAAAACTGTATATGTCTGGCTGATGGATCAAATGGCGTTATTGAGGTGCGGTACAACTTGTATTCTTACACCTTTTGCTCTAGCTGACAAACTATCGTCTCTCTTTTGTTGCCAATGGAGGAGCACGGTTAAGCTTCTACTCTGTACCCCTGACCACCATCCAATCAGTAGAATTGAAGCGCCCGTTTGGAACTGAACAAATAGTCCAACAGGCGGGACTTTTCCTTCTTTGCAAGGATATGCGGCAAATTCGCTTTGTTTTGCCAGTATGCTCTCTATCTTCCAATTACATGATCTTACCTTAGGATGTCAGGGCACGCGATGAATTGGGCAAATATATCTGCGATATTATTCATCCCACCCATCGCACGCGGCCACTCTTTGCCTATTTATTTGGTGAAGCTTGCATCGCCGAAAGCCTTTACCTCAAAGCAGGATGGAACGTCTACAACCCGGAAGACGAATACCATAGACAAAATGTACTGAATAATGGTTGGCGGATAAGTAAGGTCGGGTTAAATCTATCCTTATTTATCATGACAAGGTTAAATGTCATTGGTGTTATGGTTTTCTCCCTATTGGATAAGTCAGTGCTCATTTTGCATGGGTAATTCACTAGTTCTGATCGTCTCATTTTTTGAATAGTCAGTGTAATATGTTTGTATCACGCAGCCTTTGCGAGAATTTAGACTTCGACACCTAAGGTGCATGCATGACTTAGGTGAACGAGGGCTACAAGCTGTGCCGCACCTACCCGGAGGTGCTGGTGGTGCCGGCGAAGGTAACAGATGATTTGCTGATCCGCTGTGCTCCGCACCGGGCCCGTGGCCGCCTCCCCGTGCTCTCTTGGCTGCACCCTGAGAGCCGCGCCAGTCTCACTCGCGCCGCCCAGCCCCTGGCTGGTGTCCAGGGTCGTCGTAACGAGGCTGATGAGGAGCTCGTCCGCTGCATCCGCGAAGCCAATGCCAACACTGTCAACCTCCTTGTCTTTGACGCGCGGCATCAGGTCTGTTCCCTCTACTTCCATCTCTTCTTGTTACCTCCCACCCTGCTCTATGTCAACTATTATAACTCAGAATTTTGCTGCAATTATGACTTATCTAAGACTGTCTTGCCGTTTCGCATACGCATTGTTTGCGTTTACTGTCAATCCATCACAACTTGGCTGCGTTTATTTTTATCTTTGTAGGCGATTCATGAACTTTGCTTGTTAATTTAGTATTTCACCGAGAACGATTATTTTGATTGCTAATGTCATACGCCACAATGCGTCTGTCAATTTTTTTTATTTTTTTCTATTGCTGTTTAAATATAGCATAAATTGAACGTCAAAAATACATTGCTCACAAATGTGTGCACACACGTAAAGTCCAGCAGTTTGGCTGTTGCACTCCTTTTGTTTCAAGACTGCTGACTGTCTACTCAGTGCAATCGCGCCACCATAACCCCCTTTAACGCACATGTTTGACGAGGACCTATGCTTCTTTGTGGCATCCTACGCCACCGCATTTACTAAGCAAACCTCCATGATGTACTCGATACCAAGCAAATCAGTTGTTTTCTACTGCACTTAGGCCTGAAATTCATGCTTTATTTTTCTACGAATCACAGAACTGTATTGATTGAAATCCCTTATATTTGAAGCCATTCAGATTACAAAACTGTCTTATCGTACGTTTTACGCGAAATGTTCGCCGTGGTTTTTGTTCTGCTATTGCGTAGTACCTTGAATTACTGGTACTATTCTCACGGGGGACTACTTAGATGTGGGAGTAGAGCATTTGTTTTTGGAGTCCTACTATTTCTTGGCAAAATTAGGAGATGGTGAGCATAAATTCAAAATTTATCATAGTAAAGCTAAATACTGTGCTCGTATTTTGTTATCATTAGATGGAAATGTCTGCTTTGGCCTTACTCTCGCCTGATTTTTGGGTTATCTGAGTGCCTATTTTATACTTTATCTCCCAAACGGAACCTGTTGTTATTTTTGTTTTTATGTATGCGATTTTTTCAGTTATTATGATGGTATCTTCTAATGTTAAATGAAAACTGGACTCACATGTATCGATGATTGGTTATTCAGACAAACGACTCATCTAGCTAATAACCAGTAAATAGGTTAAAAAATGACCATATTTCTCCTGCAAAATATGGCATTGCTCCTTGGATTTTTTGCAGGAGCTTGCGTGGATTTTTACTTTCTGAAGCCAATGCGTAATTTCTGTGGAATATTATCTTGCCTTGTTTTACGCGTTACCGCATTACGTATCTGCTTAGTCTAGATGAAGCTCACGATGCCGATTTCTTTGTCATTTGCAAGGTCATAATGCTGTTAACAATTCCAATTTTGATGCGGATAATTGTAAAAAAATACCAATGGGTACCGATGCTCCGTGCTGCTTTTGTGTCACAATAACTCATTAGTTTTAGCATAAAGTTATCTGAAACATTTCACATTCATGCTGTAAATCCACTGTTCTACGTACAGTTTCTTGAGTGTTCCTATATTTAGAGAACTCAATACTTGTTTGCATAGACAGGCTATCATTACAGTGTGCCTGCTTATTTCGTCAGATCCCAAATTTGTAGATATGCTTTCGGGGTGAGGTTTTCAGGGTGATCTGAATTGTTCGCATTTCAAGCAAAGTCCGTTACTTAAGTAAATCGATCACTCCTACAATTTTAACAGTACCTACAACTATTTAAAAATGATTACTCATGTTGTGCAATGCACCGCTATTACCATTTCATTTATTGCTTTTTTGCCACCAACCTGATTGGCAAGCATGGAGTGTATAGTCCATCTTTTCGCCATCATTTCTACATGTATCGCATTGTTTTTGAATGTGCAATAAATTAAAATGGATAGATTTGTTAAAATCTTTGGTGCCTCCTGGTATGAGTGAAAATTCCTTCCTGAATTGGTAAACTTATTATATCCTTTATTGGCGTCTACCACTTCGTTAACCGGACAGGCAGTAGGGCAATGCTCTACGTTGACGTTATATCGTAATCTATTGAAATTTCTCAACGTAAGATAGTACCCTCGGCAGGTACACGAAAATTGCTCTATGAAATGAATACTTAATATCACATATGCGAAGGCCCTATCGGTATCAGCGTCCATTTAAGAAAAACTTTGAAAAAGAAAACGTATGTACTTTTCTCTGGTTGTCATTGTTATTGTTGCAAGCCTTACCTATTTCACATGTTCCTTGGACGGCAATCCAGTAGGCCGATAAGCTCGTGATATTTTATTGCCTTTGTCATTAACAGAAAACATCAGGAAGTATTCAAGCGCTTTAATGACGGTGGCAAGTTTTTTGCTTTTTTGCTCTAGCGAACCTAGTTTTTCATTAAAGCGTAGTTTAGTGATGAGAGTTTACATCTTTTGCCGCTTTTCTACATCGTAATTACGCGACCACTGAAAACTTATAATGATTTCTAAAAATTGGTTTTTATTATTTTTAGGCATTTTCAATCCCTCCGGTATAACTTTTAATCGTTCTATCGTTCTACTTTTGGAATGTGATCAGTTTATTAATATCTTCAATCTAATCCACCGTGTATATGAACTTAGATAAGGTGGCATATTTTGTAAGCGCAGTAAACGCGTATCGCTAGAACTCTACCGAATCACCGTTTCGATTTCCTAGTTCACAGCTGTGGTCAATCGTGGGCGTGGTGGAGGCATGGAGAACCCAGCCTTCTACACCAACATCCAGTACTCCTTCATGAATATTCCCAACCTCCATGCAATGCGTGCCTCTTTCGCGAAGCTTATGACCGCTATCAATTCTGTAACCCTGACTCAGCAGGATAACGTGTGCTGGCTCAAAACCATTCACAACACTAAGTGGCTCCACAACACGCAGCAGATTCTCTCCGCTGCTGCCGCTGCTGCTGACCAAGTACGCCCTCCCACTACTGATTTATTATAAGTAGGGTGTTTTTACAATAAGAGATTTCTGGAATGCTTCCGTTGGTTTAATATTTAGACCTCAGATACTCCTCATCATTAAACCATCGCATCCTTTGGGTCCGTTGTTGCTAAAGAAATTTTAGCGCTAGACTGTATACAATCATGTGATTCGCCTGTTTTATTTGGACGTAAGATTATTACTGACTTAGCATTTGACGCCTAACCAAGTAAGTCGGCATTATTTGATATATTGAGGTTTTTAAACATTGATATGGAATTACAGACACGGATGTCTTAGAATAGAGTTTTTAATTCACCGCTTTTAAATACCGCTAGGAAGGCTGTCTGCAAAAACTTGAATCCAACTCACATGCCTTCCCTTGTAGATCGAAAATCACAAGTCCTCCATCCTGGTTCATTGTTCGGATGGGTGGGACCGAACTCCACAAGTAACCAGTCTTGCAATGTTGATGCTAGATCCCTACTATCGTACTCTGCGTGGTTTCCAGACTCTCGTGGAGAAGGAGTGGATTTCCTTCGGTCATAAGTTCTGTCAGCGCACCGGTGGCCCCGCAGACGGCGGTAACCTTATCTTCCCTCACACCTCTCCTGCCCTCATAGCCGGATCTACCTCAATCAAAGTGGGGACCTCCAATCCCGAGGAGCGTTCGCCCATCTTCCTTCAGTTTATTGATTGTGTCTGGCAAATGATGATCCAGTTTCCCGCCTCATTCGAATTTAACGAACCCTTCCTTGTCACCATCCTGGACGAGCTGTACGCCAGCAGGTTCGGCACTTTCCTTTTCGACTCGGAGTGTGAAGCGCGCAATAACTTCGCCCGCACAAAAACTGTTTCTCTATGGGGCTACATAAACTCCAGCATTAAGGCCTACTTAAATCCCACTTACACACCAGCAGAGGTGTCGGGTCATCGCCTGATCATCCCCTGTTCGATGTCATACCAGCTGGAGTTGTGGAAAGGATATTACCTGCGCTGGCAGCCATTCATGCGGTGCCAGGAGCCGGTGCTGTCGCGTAGCTCTAAGGTGCTCGACCGCATGCAGAAGTTCAGGGCGCTGTCGCGGCGCAGTAAACGTGGCGGCACCCAGAAGGCGAATGTCTCGCCCGTAGCGGGCTCAATCACTTCGCTGCCACTGGCAGAGATGAGCACACTCGACGCTTCAGTCACTCTGCCTGCCGCCCAATCGGCCGTTTCACCCCGCCGCATCTTCCCTCGTTTCCCCATCTCAACCAGCAACATCGCCGCCGTCACTGTCGCCCCTGCAGTGGAGAAGGCCCCCGTGGTCGCCGCCCAACCCTGAATTATGCTAATGCCACTGCCGTCAATTGGAATATCGATGCATTTATCTAGCCCCATCCGACACTTTTGGTCAGAATTGGATCATAGCCTTTCCCTGATGATCTATGTCTTTAACTTTCCTCCGATTACAACAACCATGGCGAAACGTCTTTCCTGTCTAAAACTTCTTGCTGTAGAATTAAGTAGGAACATGCATCCAACTTTCAAAAGAACTGCTTGGAAGTGGAAATTGGTTTAATTTATTGACCTTTGAGCTTTCTTCTGTTTTATGCACTGGTTTACGATACTACGAAGTTCATTCACTTATAGATGGCGTTCAAAGTAATGCCACCTAAATTGCTACAACGAACGGCAGACATCAGTTTCGTCGTAGATTGGAGGTGAATATTTTTCTAGACCATTTATTATGGCTTAAATTCGTTTTCTACCGCCTTGTCATTCTTTTTGAAAACACTTCAAAATGTCGGAATTAGGCGATTCTAGTGATAGCGCCTACGCATGGAATTGGGGCACCTGCTCTCCTCACGGTGTTTGGAGAACTTGGATGCACGCTTCTTTTAGACAGTAGCATACCTCACAGAAAATACAGGAAGTGGAACCTACCATACCCTATAAAGACGCCGATACGCACGCAACGTAAACCCGATGGTCATTGCAGTGTTTTTTTTAAATTTGTTAATTTAGAACTCCCACCCGCAACCTTCAAAGGAGTTTCCTCAGTAATAAAAATAGACCACAATATTACTGCAATTTTGTGCCATCAGAACAAAGTATCTTGCGTAAAATACAGTAACTTTAGACGTATCTTAACGGCGAAAACATAGCCTCAAATCGGACTCCTAACTGATAATGAATTACCTTGATGTAGACGGATACCTTTGAGCAAACGTTTAACGGCTCAATTCTGGTACGAGAATAGTGTAAGTGGCGTGATTGCTCGCATTTGCATGGCAAAAAAGACAACACAATAAGCTCTTACGAACTGCTTGATAAAGACAAAAAACCTATAGCATTAATAACTAGTTTTTCCACGATCTATCAAAGCAGGTCTTATAAAATATGGAATAATCGGACAGTAGTTAAGCCGGCTACTTCCATATGAAAGTGTTGCATCGAGCAAGAAGATTGTCGGGTGCCCCTACAGGTCGAGCACAGACCCAGAACTCGTGACCCCTGTGCTGCGAACTTTTTGGCTTGACCCGGTGACAGACGCAGGGCTCCCCGTGACCTGCGCAAAGGGGTGTTGTTCCTGCCATCCTCAGAGATCTCTTGCTACCATTTAAAAGGCTCTGCCACGCTAAGACCATCGCTTTTCGGTGCTCCCCTTCATCGCACTGATCCGATTCCAAAGGCGTTTCTTGCACCACTTCCCCTTGGACGCAACAGACTCTCCCTGCCTCGCCGCTGCAACGAAACCAAAGAGAAAATCATTTTTTCAGTAATTTCACACGCTTAGCTTCTCGTGAAAGACACTGTGAATGCTTTCAAGTCAAACATCTGGGTAAACTTCCCGAAAAAAAACTATTTCGAGTGCATCTAAAATAGGTACGTTGTGAATATAAAAATAAGCTAAGTTCCTACTTAAAGCGTGAGCAACAAAGGCTGAGTAACTAAGCGAGATAAGTTTCAGAATAATCATGCATTAGTCTGATCAAATTAACTCTAACTCAGTTGCCTCTACGGTACAACTTACAAAAATCAAGACGCGTCTGCTTAAGCCTCCTGCATTTATGTGCATCGCTCAGCGGATTGACGCGACCATCAACAGTGACCTCAATAAATACACCGGTCTCCTCATCCTTCTTCAGAAAACTTAGCAACAGCAACTGACGTTTTTGACACTGAGGCCAGAAGTGGGAACACAATGGTGGCAATGGTAAGTTGGCATTGGCGGGCAGGGTGAGAGGGAGAACCGCCCATACCGGACAGTGGTCCGAGCCCTCGACCTCTGGCATTATGTCCGCTGTAGCTTCACAGGTAGGCAGAAGGTTTGCGAGCTCTTTGTCATAAAAAATGTAGTCTATGCGAGTACCATAGTTTGTTTTGCCCGCACCATTTCGCAAGTTCCAACAAGTGAAGGCTTCCGGTCGAATTGGATGGGGAAGACTGTAAAAACAAGAAGGTTAACTTAAAACGTCCGGACAAACCGAAAGACGTCGATCATTGGAGCTGACGCCTCAGTTTCTCGGGCAGACCTTGGTTTCGCAAGCAGGCTGTCCAGCCACTTTATTGGACTTCTTTGTAATTTCTATACTAAGATGTTTTGAAAACAACCGACGAATTTACCTTGTAATCTTTCAAGCTACAATGATCAATAGGTTTGTGGCAAATGTTTAAGTCGCCAGCTAATACAACATAACTATAGTGGATTATCATTCAAAGCAAGTGAGCATACCTCCCATCTGCTATCAGCTTAGAAATAACAAATTCTAAAAGCTTTAAGAAACGTTCTCTGTATTTAGCACGCCCTTCGTCTTCTGGATCAACACGCGGACGGTATACATTGATTATGGAAAGCAATTTCCCATAGATTTCTGTTTCGAACTGTACAATAACTCCCCGCCCTTCAGCATCAAGGTCATTGTCGATTTCGATATGCTTGTCACGTAAACCGTCATAGGCCTGAACCGGCCTAAGGGGTTCTCTACAGAAGACGCAAACGCCTACATTTGTAAAACAACCTGCTAGCATTTAACAAACCTGAATAGCCGGGTCTTTTTTTACAAGCAGAGAAATATGCATCGTAGCCGGCTACACGACTGTAGTCTGCTGAAATATCGCTTAAATACTTCCTTGTTTTCTTTCAACGAATGAACGTACTTCCGGCCTTTGTCTCCTGAAGGCGGATTATGTCAGCATTAAGCATATCAAGGTGGGACTTAAACGGTTTCGCAAAAGAGCGAATACCATTTACGTTCCAAGAACAAACTTCCAGCATTCGTCTACAAGCACAGTTTCAAAGAGGGCATACATGCGCGGTATTGAGAAAACTTAATAGGAGTTCCATAACGGTTTAAGTAAAATAAACACAGGAATGGGCATAGCAGCTCAAATATGAATACAAGTGCAATTTACTAGGTTAACACTTTGTAATTATCGTGTCGATAGTCGAATTGATGAAATCGTTTAAAAGATCGACAACACGTACACACTGCTTCCAACATTAAACAGCATACTTAGGATCCATCGTTAGAATTGCATGATTACAGATATACACCATAATTTTAAGCATCACGTATATGGTAACAGGTAGTTTTAAGCATATCAAATTGCGGCAAAAAGCCACCAGACCGCTAAAGAGCACGACTACCCATCTGAGAAATAATGGCCTTGAACCATATTAATTATTGACAGATTGAAGTAATAAACTAATTTCAACCTACACTAGGATAGTGAGGCGAAAAACCGGCTTTTCTTACTTCAAGAATAACTTAAAAATCAGGAATTATAAACCTTTGGTGGATCATGTGTATACTTGTGAATAAGATCGTTGGCTTAATACCCTTTGATACCCAGAGGTACTTGCTTATTTAATGCCAATGCGGCTACCTTCAGGAACATTGCAATTAGAACTTGCACGAAGACCTTCGCTAGCTTTATTCACTTCGCCTTAGGTAGCCCATTCAGAAATCGCACTTGGACTGTGTCTTCCCCTGATTTTTAGGCCCTGGATCCTGGATTATGTTTCTTCTCCAATAGCAATATGGTATGCAATCCAACTTTAAAGTTGTATTTAATATTTCCCAGTCGTATTGGAAACCACCTATGATGCTATTATCTTTTGTCGTATGAGTTGGCTACTCTTACAGAGAGTACTATTCGAGATAATTCGCCTGGTCAATGCCATCATGATCATGATCACGTTTCTTCACTCTTTGTTATTATTCTCGTTCCATTCTAATTTTATCAAATGAGGACATATACTAGGGGCCATTTTGAATTTTCTTCCAATGATGCTTTGCATTCGTTTTCCCGACGTTATAGTCACCCACAACCAAAGGTGTCTAAATGACGGACCCCATAAATTGTTTAATTTAGGTGTCTTATCAATTACCAAGATGTTTATTTGGTCGATCATTGCTTAAAACGAAAATATATGGGCATATGGTCAAAATCTTGGCTAGTTCAACTCACATTGGTAAATTTGAGGAGCTTGGATTGTATTTACCTAGTGCCTACTCGCCAAAATTGTTAAGTCATTTATTGGCATGATAGTAAATATAGTAAAGTAAGCTTACAATGTCGTATACTGGTTCGAACATCATAAAAAGGATTCCTCAAAACCGGGTAATAGATCTGTAAACTCGTATGTCATCAAGGCCATGAAAAGTTTGTTTACAGCTCATTTCATATGGAAAGTCATCTAACATAAGAAGTTTGCTTAGTGAGTATATGTGAAAAGCTGGTTTGCAAGTTTTTTTAACCTTACTAGTTCCATCTCTTACACCAGAGGTTTATACACTAGACGTCCCATAAGGCTCATTTATTCAAGCACAACCTTCTTATTACTGTGATTCTGACATTTATTTTAATGAACCGACAAATTACTTATTTGTGTATGTAACCAACCCTACTGT